CCCTTTTTCTTCTCCAGGTCTGCCTCTTATGCTGCTGGCAACAGTCCCTGGGTGGGCTCCCACACCCAGCACCATGCTTACTGAGTTCAGCTGGGGGTTATAAGTTGACCACCAGTTGTCCATCCACTACAGGTACCTCCATCAAGGAACACATTCTGTAGCACGTTTCATCTGCCTTGATGAGGAATGGCAGTGATCTGGGCTTTCATAGAACCGTCCCAGTTTCTTCCAGGATTTCTTCAAATGCCAATATTCCAGCTCCCTGGAATTGCAATGCATGAGGGCTTTACAATAGGGATGGGAGTAAGTGTCCTCCCACAGAATTCATCCTGAAGCCTGTTAGGGTACCAAGCCTTAACCTCAGTACCTTAGAGCACTTGCTGCTTAGCTGGACACATCCTGTGTTTTCTCACCAGCTGCCCAGTCAGCCCTTGGCTCAAAATCCCAAGGTCCACTTTAACAGCTGGCTATCTAGACTAGTTAGACAGAGCCACTATACTCTCAGTAGAGACCACCATGGCAAACAAAAGCCACTTCCCATTCCATAGTAATTGGAATTCCTATAATATAACATGATTCTCTACATTATAAAGACAAATTGCATGAAACATCAGTTTAGTTACAAAGTAAACTTTTAAATGATTACAGCTGTGTGGTAAGTTTAAGAGTAATCTTCTGGATAATTTTGGCATTCCAAATTTTTTTCAGGTGTTCACATATACCAGATTTATACCATATATCACTTTTAAAAAATAAAATTTTGATTTTGTAAATAACATTTTCAGAGCATGTAGAGTACTTTCATACATATAATTTTATTAGCTTATAAAGGATTTGCTTATTAAGGTATAGCTATCATAGACACAAAAATCAATGAATTGAAGCTCTTAGAGTGAAAATGGTCTGGGAGATCACTGGCATCATGTCAAGTGGAAAAATCAGGGTATTGATTAAATGGATATGTAACAGTAGTATATTTACAATAAAAATGCCTAGAAAAAAAGATTTAAAAATAACGTCAAAAACTCTTTAATGGTTTATAATAGGGTTTTCTCTACTTTTAAATATTCTTAACGTACTATTGTTACACACGTACACTTTTTTAAAGAAGTGATCTCACTCTGTACCTTCTTGAGGTAGCATCATCCTATGTGAATTTACAAATAAAGTAAACCACTGTTCAGCTGCTAGGTGTAGCTAATCAAACCATGACATCATCAGGATTCATTGAGGGGTCCTTCACAGAGATTACTGTCTCTGCTTGAACACAGAAAGTTGCAGTATTCTTCCTCAGCTGCTGGCGTTGCAAGCTTGGCTCAGTATTGGAACTAAGGGAGAGCCACGCCAGCACGGGGTCTGACCTCTCAGGTAAAACAATGAGCTGTGGTTTAGGAAAGCATCGCTTGATTAATGGAAATGTATGTGCCATGTCACAAGAGCGAAACTCTTAAAGGAAGGGAGAATAAGGACTGGGACGTAGTTCAGTGGTAGAGAGCTTGCCTAGCATGGGCAAGGTCCTGGGTTTGATCCCCAGCACTGCAAAATAAATAAAAGGGAAATTGATTATTCAGGATTTCTGTATGTATCAAATGGGGAAGTAATATTTAATATGTGTGGGTAAAAAGATTTTTACATTATCTTAACAAGTTTATAGGAAGATGAGTAAATTTTTCAAAACTAAATTATGGAGGTTCCATCATTAGAGAAATAATTACCCTTTATTGGAATTCCATGATTTCAAAATAGCTTCTCCCTTATTCATTCCCTCTCTTCAGTAAGAAAATAATAAAAATGTATTTCCGTTCTTAAAAGAGGAAAGTGTATATAACTTCAAATTTGACTGTCAGAAAGTCTGAAGAGGGTAGAACTAAAGCTTAAGTGTCTTTAGAAGGTGGTGAATCTATGTATTGCTCTATCGGTTTGAAGCCCAAAGCCAGATTTCCCTTCCATCAGATAGGCAAACTTGTCAGGATGTAAAACTGAACTTTTGTTTTAAAATGAATGCAAACCACTGAGTAGTAACAAGCTCAAGAATAATTTACATTTTCAGTACCTCTAACCGTAACATTTCAGAGCCAGATTTGAAGATAAGATGCCCAATTTAACAGGCAATAGATGTCAGCAGTCACTTCAGAGAGTCCTAACTTACTAGGAAGAAAATACAACAGGATGCTGAGAGAGGGACAAGGGTTGGGATAGATTAAATGGTCAGGAAATGAGTCTCTTAAGGAAGCAAGAAGTATCCTATGATTACAGTGATAAGAGGGAGCTACCAGTCCACTGTCAGGGGAGAAACAAACATTTCACCCCCAAGGGAAGCTAGCTGATGTAGAGAGAAAAGTGGGTCCCCTGTGCACAGGGCTTGTGACCTGGGGCTCTGCATGATCTGAGGGCCTTGTGAGGTTATCTTTATGTCTCAAATGCAAAGCATGAGCCAGGTGTGGTA